TCAATCGCTCCATCGTGTCCAACTCTTTGCGACCCCATGAACCCCAGCATGCCAGGCTTCTCTGTCCATCACCAACTCCCGGAGTCTACCCAAACTCATGTCCATTGAGTCGGTGATGCCATCCAACCATCTCATCCTCTGTCATCCCCTTCTCCTCCCGCCTTCAATCTTTCCCAGCATCAGGGTCTTTTGAAATGAGTCAGCTCTTCACATGAGGTGGCCAAAGTATTGGAGTTTCAGCTTCAGCATCAGTCCTTCCAATGAACACCCAGGACTGATCTCCTTTAGGATGGACTGGTTGGATCTCCTTGCAGTCCAAGGGACTCTCAGATGAGTGCAATTGCGCAGTAGTTTGAGCATTCTTGTCATTGCCTTTCTTTGGGATTGGAATGAAAATTGACCTTTTCCAGTCCAGTGGCCACTGCAGTTTTCAAAATTTGCTGACATATTGAGTGCAGCACTTTCACAGCATCATCTTTTATGATTTGAAATAGCCCAACTGGAATTCCATCACCTCCACTAGCTTTGTTCATAGTGATGCTTCCTAAGGCTCACTTGACTTCACATTCCAGGATGTCTGGATATTGTTGAGTGATCACACCATCATGATTTCTGGGTCGTGAAGATCTTTTTTATACAGTTTTTCTGTGTATCCTTGCCACTTCTTCTTAATATCTTCTGCTTCTGTTAGGTACATACCATTTCTGTCCTTTACTGAGCCTGTCTTTGCATGAAATGTTCCCTTGGTATCTCTCATTTTTTTGAAGAGATCTCTAGTCTTTCCCATTCTATTGTTTTCCTCTATTTCTTTGCATTGATTACTGAGGAAGGCTTTCTTATCTCTCCTTGCTATTCTTTGGAACTTTGCAATCAAATGGGTATATCTTTCCTTTTCTCCTTTGCCTTTCACTTCTCTTCTTTTCACAGCTATTTGTAAGGCCTCCTCAGACAGCCATTTTGCTTTTTTGCATTTCTTTTTCTTGGGGATAGTCTTGAAAGTTGTGTGAAGTTGTGTCACACAATGCCTGTCTGTAGTGAATAATGAACAGAAGTTTCATGTGTTCTCTCAGTGGTAAGGACTGTGGTTAGAACTTCAGCTTTTTCATTGTTTCCCAAGGTGTCTGCTGCCACTTTATTTGGTCATGTCCTTCTGCTGCAGTCCAGCACGCTAGTAGTTTTCCAAATGTGAACCCCAGACCAGCATCACCTCATCACCTGGAAACTTTTTAGAAATGCAGATTATTGAGCCTCATCCCATACTTACTAACTGAGGAATTCTGGGAGGGAGTGCCAAGAGATGTGTGTTTTAACAGGACTTTCCAGGGAATTCTGAGGTGCATTAAAGTTTGGGAGCCACTAAAATAGACTATACCAACCCACCAAACCATTACCTGAGTCAGACTTCCCTGATTGATTTGGGAGATGCTGGAAGCAGCATGGAATATTATTGCATTAAGATAATCATCAACAGACAAGAATTATTACACTATTTTATTACTTACAAGTAGTAAGATTTTAATTAACTCGCTTCATTTTTCTGAACTTCAGTTTCCTGCCCTGTAAAATGGAAATACAGCATATTCTGCAATGCAGTAAGGAGGTCCCTCAAAAAAAACAAACAAACAAAAAAAAAAAACCATAAAAAACCTCAGTCAGCAGTCACCTTCCAAAAACAAGTATTTCAAAAAGAAAAAAGGAAAAATAATAGTTGTTCAATTTCACATGCATAATTTAAAAGTTATTTTTCTTTTATTTAAACATGTGCATATCAAGTCGCTTCAGTCATGTCCAATTCTTTGCATCCCTATGGATTGTAGCCCACCAGGCTCTTCTGTCCATGGGATTCTCCAGGCAAGAATACTGGAGTAGGTTGCCATGCCCTTCTCCAGGGTATCTTCCCGACCCAGGGATCAAACCTGCATCTCTGTCTCCTGCATTGGCAGGTGGGTTCTTTACCACTAGTGCCATCCAGAGTAAATAAACTCTATAGATTACTAATAGGACCTCAACAAAATCAATTAAAAAGCCTTTCCCCCTTTACCATTTGAGTTACATATAAAAGCCTGTTGAAACACATAAAAAGCCTTCACCTTTGACCTTTGCTGCTAACACAATTCATATCCTTTGAAGGAAGACAGACAAGGGGGAAAAAATGTGTAGCCAGTTGACCAGCCAGCCACCAAACCGAGCAGCCCCTAGATGCTTTTGGTCCTAGCCAGAAGGATTGAAACCCAACACTTCTGCATACTGAAGATTGTATTACTGTAACAGATTTCCTTAATTTCAATTTGAGTTGTGAAACATCCTTATTACAGGTGTAACATCAGTAATATCTTTCCTGCCCTGCCTATATTATACATTATAGGGTTGTTGAGAGAGAGAGAGAGGTGTATTATCTTGTTTAGTATCAGCAAATCAGGCGTACCATGTACAGACACTCTCAGCAGGTCATGGATTCTCTATGTCTTCCGGTGTTGGCTTGTTTTCAAGTTAGGATCACCTCTTGCAGCTGGGGCATCTCAACAGATTCATTAGACTCAGGGCCACATACTTCTGCGTACAAACCCAGTGGAAATGTTTGAGAGTCTTTAGTATGCCCACCTGAAGGCTCATGACATGCCATTGGTTCTGAAATGGGCGTGTGTCTGAAACAGTCACTTTGTCAGGATTGCTCTGCTTGACTCCAGCCACATCAGAAGCACAGTAACTGAGAGAGGGGAAGTGGTGGTTCCTTAAATAGAATTATTGCTGGTGGGGCTGATGAAGGTTCAAATCACAGATGTTTATATAACTGACAGTGTTACAGTTAATAGGACTTTACATTAGTTCTAGTCTTTAGTGATGTATTTAAATCAAGACGCTTATCTACATCCTCGTTAAGGACAGTTTGCAAGCCTCCAGGTAACTGCCCCTCCCCTGCACTGAAAAGGTCTTTTATGAGCATAGAGGGCTATAGGGGGATGGGGCTGTTTCTGTTCCTTAGCATGGCATAGTGAGAGAGACCCGATTCCAGTTCTTGTTCTGTCACCTATTCACTGGGTGAATTTGTGTTAATTTCTTAACCTCTCTTATCCTTATTTTCTGAGCTTGAGATACATGCTGATCCCACTGGACTATTGGAAAAGTCAATATGTAAATTACTTAGCCTTAGCTCCTAGATAGGGGGGCCTGGTGGGCTGCTGTCCATGGGGTCATCATAAAAGCGTTGGACAGGGCTTAGGGACTAAACAACAATAAGCTACTAGGTACTGCTCACTAAATTTCCTTCTCATGCATAAAAGTGGGACATCTGTCATATAAGTGGTCCAGGGTACTGTGGGAAATGTTTCCATATCTCAGATGCCTGAGCCTGCTGCTCTAGCAAGAGACCTGTATAAATAGAGGTGGAAGCCTTTGCGCAGGAAAGGCACTCAAGAAGTATAGTCCCATCAGTTCCCATCTTCACAGTGGTGTTGTAGATTAAATCTTCTTATTGATGATGCAGGAAGACATTGAGTTGTAAGTGTCATAAAATGAATTCCATTCAATCAGCATGTATTTCTTGACTTCTCACCACAATTTTCTTTCCTTGTTTTTTCTTTTTCTTTTTGTATCATATTTATATGAAAAGATGGATGTTAGCTTAACCTATTGTGGTAGTCATTTCATAATATATATAAATTGAACTATCATGCTATGCACCTTAAAATTATACAGTGATATGTATCAATTATTTCTCAATAAAACTGAAACAAAATAAAATATACAAAAATTCATTAGAAAAAATATTGGCAGTAGATATATTTCAAGTATTTACCAAAATAAATATACTGTATTATTAATAATAGCTTGTTGTGGTTAGGTTTTATTATCTATGTAGCAATGGAGGCCTCTTAAAAATAAGACACACAAATTTTCCCATCTCAACAGAACAAAAAGCATTACATAATCATTTAATTTTGGAGAATCATGATCTCAGTATTCATCCTTTACTTTTAGACTTGCTAAGAAATAATCCAAGAGGAAAAACGGTCACCCTGTCAGCAGAGCCACCTTAATTCTAGTCCCTGGGCCCAGAATTCAGCTCAGTACAGACAGTTCGTGTCTAACTCTTAATTTCTGTCTGCTTCTCTCCCCTGGCAAGTCACCTCGCTCACCCCTTGACCACCCACACCACCCATAGTCTGCTCAACTGTTATTTTCAAGTTCCTTGTTGTCTTGAATTCTCTTGCATTTTGGCAAGTCATGTGTTTCCTGCATTTTTGTTGTTCAAAATTCTTCCTTTACCCTATTTATATTGACACTGAAAATTTAAGGTGACACCTTGTAACTGTGGGCGTTAAGAAGCATCAGTTAAATGAAGTTACACAAAAATGTTTCCGCTGTGTATATCAAGTGCTTAATATATGTTACCTACTACTTTTAGTTCTGGTTTTATCATGAATTCATCTGTAATTAGGTTTCTATTGTAGCACAATTTAGTAATTCATCCCCTAATACTGTTTCATCCCTAGTTCAGTTTAATTTTTTAGGTATTTTTAATAAAGACTGTAAATTATTTAAAGGGGGAGGTCATGCTTTCCATTTCTCTGCATGCTGTATGTGGAAATCATGAAAATGGTACTGCTGCTGCTGCTGCTAAGTTGCTTCAGTCGTGTCCGACTCTGTGCGACCCCAGAGACGGCAGCCCACCAGGCTCCTCTGTCCCTGGGGTTCTCCAGGCAAGAATACTGGAGTGGGGTTGCCATTTCCTTCTCCAACACATGCTGGCAACAATATATTATACCATTACATCATTATAGCCATCCTCATGGAGTGGATTATTATACCATTTAGTAGATGAAGAAACTAAAACTCAGAGTTTATAGCGTCAGAACCACAGTTCAAATTTAGAGCATGTGGACATAAAGCCAGTTCTCTTAATCATGAATATCCAAACTACATATCATAGCGCCTTGTGTAAAAATCACCACTAAAGGCTTTCTGTTTTGAAAGTCTCATTTGTTTCTTCCCCCTTGCAGATGGACCCCCATGAGAACATCTTACTGAGCACTCTTGAGATAAAAAATGAAATGGCCACCTCTGAGGCTGTGATGGGACTTGGAGACCCAAGGAGCACAATGCTGGCCTATGATGCCTCCAGCATCCAGTATCGGAAAGCCGGGTTGCCCAGGCATAGTTTTGGCCGAAATGCCCTGGAACGGCACGTGGCACAGAAGAAAAGCCGCCTGCGGAGACGCGCCTCCCAACTGAAAATCACCATTCCCGACTTGACTGATGTGAATGCCATAGATCGGTGGTCCCGCATATTCTTCCCAGTGGTTTTCTCCTTCTTCAACATCGTCTACTGGCTTTATTATGTGAACTAAAACATAGCCTCTGTGGGAAGCAAGGACTAGATTCCTCCTCAAACCAGTTGTACAGCCTGACATAGAACTTGGAAAACATATCAATCCAGGACAAAAGTGATGCTAAAATACCTTAGTTGCTGGCCTATCCTGTGGTCCAATTCATACCATTTGGGTTGCTTCTGCTAAGTCATGAAAATGCTAAGGTCCTTGGGGTTTTCCAGTTAAAATGCAAGTGATTTGTACACATGCTGGCAAAACTGAGTCTGTGTTCCACCTTCTTTGCTTAGTACACAGCCTATATGGAGAGGAATAATTTAGATGATATTCCAGAAGGCTCAGTAGAGTCATCAGTCATCTCGCCAAGATGTGGTCATATCCAGATACTCCCCATCTTCGTTCTTAAGGTTGTCACGTGATCTGCCATGCCATGCAAACATGCTTACTGAAGACAGCCTCTGCCTGTCTTATTAAGGTGATACTGGTGCCACAAGAAGTTAATTCCCACTGGATACTAGAAGATTCTTGTGTAATTCAAACAAGATAGGGAGAGTCAAGACAGAGACTCAGGAAACCAATTTGGCCAGACCATGTTTGCTTGAGCTTGGGAATCAATGCTGACGTCTTCCATTTTGACATTTAGAGACAAGGAGACTTCTAAACATTATCATGCCTGGTGGCCGAAAGAAATTTTTCTAAAATGCTATTTCTGAGGCAGTTAAAAATAAGAGTTAATAACCCAGAACAGAGTGGAAAATTCAGGGACAACAGTAGTAATGAAATTAAAGCACGCAAGCAGCTTGATCCTTAGCCAGTTACAAGCGTGTGGGCCATACACACTGTGTTCAGTGGAGAAAGTAGAGTGAGAGAGATTTCTTTCCGTCCAAACTCACAAGCTTTTGAGAGCATGCCTGAAGAAGTTTTTATAGTGTACCTGATCAAGAGACAACCCCTAAACAGAAATGTTAGCAGAATTAGAAGCATCTTAGGTTACACTGGGAGTGATTCCAATATATAGAATATAAAGCACAGACAGAGCTAGCAAACAAGATGCTTTTCTCTGACTCTAAAACATTTTCCTGCAGTTTACTTCTGAATTTAATAGGGTATTTCAAAAGAAGGATTTGTTCATTTCTTTAGCAGGATTAATGGTCTTTTCCAGCTTTTCTTGTTTCTGAAATTCTGATTACATTCTTAAGAGACAGACAGTAAGTCTTTGGAGAGATTTTAAGAGAACTGTATTTTTATGTACAATGAAGTTCACCTTTGTCTTTCATGGCAAATAGTACACAAGAGATTATGTGCACAAGTAGTTTTTTTTTTTTCACCAACATAGGGAGCTCTGGCCCTTATTTTTTTGTTTATACACTTGAACACCTCTGAGCATGATCTTTGGGCAGAATCCAACTGACGCGTTGCCCATGGGGGCTCAGAGCACAGATTCCTCGAGTTTCTCCAGGGACACACTTTCCCCTGGGCAGTCATTTTGGGACATCACACTAATAAAAGTGCCTGCCCCTTGTCACTAGGGGTTAAAGTTTGAGTAGCATATATCAAGAAGGACCATATTGATAACTCAGGTTCACAACTCCAAAATGCCATTCTGGAAAGGTTTTTCTAGAGACAGCTCAGAGCTCCAGCCGAGAAGTGGTTCTTATCTACAGTTATCATAAAAGCCATAAAAGTCCTTGGTATTGTCATATGAGTCCAACAAAGTTTTGATGTCCAGGAAAGTCAACAGAGAAATCTAGATCAAAGTGGACAGCAGAAGCAACTTTGCAGCATGAGCTTCAAAAGCATATGACCAGGGATTCATTTCTGACCACAGTGTTAAGAAAAATCTTAGGGAAAGGAAAAAGATGGGACACTGGAACAGAAACCCTAGAGTAAAATCCATTGATTGGCATTTAGTAACCATGTAGGTAGAAAAACCTGACTCATCCCACCCAGAGATAACAGTAGATATAGAATTTATTCTTAAATGATTGTTTTATTGTAGTTGAACTGAATTTTAGTTACCAGATTGGGGGAGGGGAAGGGAAGGGAGCTAGATCTTTGTCTTCAAAACAGACCAGTCAGCTTGGCATCCAGGACCACAAAAGTATGTTTTGGCAATTCTGATACAGCATTACTATCAGTTTATACATATATGTATAGTTTTTCTTTTGATTATGAAATAGCCAGATAGCCAGCAATTAAGGTGTTTTTCATCTCTGTGAAATTCATAGGCAAATTCTGACTCTAAAAGGCACACTCTCAATGAAATCTTTGATCTCAATCTGTATATGTATATATTGTACATGACTGCTAGTAGGTATGAAATGCATTTTCAGAATTGAAAACTCATGCAACATAATCATGTGTTTGCATAAGGAATGTTAACAATTCTTTCTACTGCAATTTAATAACAGGGGAAAAGACTTAAGCAGTGCCATCTAGACCTTTCCTCATTTCTTCAAAAGCAGTGCTAAGTGAAAAATAGTAATAATAAAAAATGGTTTAGGAACCAAAAGACTTTACATTCTAGCATTAGGAACACAAAAAAATCTGTCAGCTTACAAAAGCACAACGCATAGAGAAAGTTCAGTGGGATGCATAATGGAGAAATGAATCACGTTTATTTTAAGCAGAACCTGCATTAAATTGTCTACTAAGACAATTTCCATTTTCTATAGGTAACTGTGTTCCAATTTTATGATTAAATTCATACAAAAACAGCCAACAAACAGATTTTACCACATATTTACATGTATATATGTGTATATATCGATCCATATAAACATACATACATATATATGCATTCATATGTTGGAAAACAAAAGGAATAAGCTAATATGTTTTATTTCCTTCATTAAACCAATGTATGAATATTTTTAATTTGGCAGCCGACAAATCAAACATATTGAAACAAGTAATACAGGGTACTGAGCATTTCTCTATCAGCGAATCAATGCCTACAGTTCTTATGAACCACTGCACAGTTTGACACTATAATAGTACTGTACCTCAGAACATGGAAATTAACTAGTTCTCACATTGCTTGTCTACTTATTCTCTTTTTCAAGGAAACAACTAGCATTGTTCAATGGTGATTTAAAAACAAAAATGTCTTAAGAAAACAGAAAATGATAAAAATATATATATATATTCCTCCCAAGAGGAGGAAAAAAAAATAACTAAACCCCACCATGTTGGTTAGGGCAAATACTCTCAACTGTAGCAATCATGCCATTTTGCTAAGTGTACAGAGTCCATGTAATGTTAGCAACCATAACTTTTACTGAGCGTGTGTAAATATTAAAACAGATTTCTTAAATATTTTTAACTTCTAATTTGTATTTTATGGTAAGGCAATGTGCTAATTCTGTTTATGGCTTAAGTTGCTGTGTTATTATGTAAATAATTAAACATGCTGTAAATGAATAGTCAATAGATGCAAATCATTGTTTAGTTTTTTTTTTTTTAGTTTTTATTTATTTTTTACTAAGTAAAAATAGTTACTGCAGCCCCCAGCAGAGAAATTCAAACACCCTTTTGCATAAATGCTTTGGGATCCCAGACAGAAGGGTTTTAATTTGCGCTCTCTCTCTCTGTCTCTTTCCCTCTCTCTCTCTCTCTCTTTCCCTCTCTCTCTCTGTCTCTTTCCCTCTCTCTTTCTCTCTCTCTCTCACACACAGACACACACACACACTTTTTCTTGTCACTCCCACTCATACTCCGTCTATGGGAAACACTGTAGTGTTTATAAAAACCAGGAGATAGCCTTAGAAATGGCAACTGGGAAAAGCAGAAATGATCATTGATTACTTGATAGAGCTTTTTATATGTAAGAGTTTAAGAAACCAAAGTTCATAACTTAAATCTCAGTTTTCAAAGAGTAAAAGTTTTTATTGATGGCACTACAGGAAAAAACAAATGCTTATTATATACCTGCTCCAGAAATATGTTACACAATAGTACATAGAGAAGACTTTTTTTTTTAAATAGCATTTGTCCTTAGATAGCATTTTTTCCTTTTAACCAAAGACTCCATAATTATTTTTAAAAAAGAAAGAAAAATGGAAAAATGAAGGAAAATGGGAGAAAAAAAGACACTGCTTCACACCAAAGGTTTAAAAAATATTTTCCAAATACACCAGGGACATTGTAAAAAAGTAGTAAGGAGCCAACAGAGTGGTAATTAAGATACTGCCCTAAGGAAATAATTTAAGGAAAAAAAATATTAAACATCTGTTAGTTATTTGAAAATTAAAGTAAACATTTCTGTAGATATATAGATGTGTGCAAAATGCTAATATCAGATTTTAATTTGCTTTGAGAATTTGTTCTGTGATAAAGTTAAATGTGATCCAAAATGAACAAAAACAAAAACTTGTGGTTTTTTTAACTTGAAAGCCAAATCTCTCTCTTGTCACATGTCATTATTCTGATGCCCATATCTGTGTCCTGGCACCATCTGAAGCAAGTTGACAGTTCCATCAGCTTGTATCTTTCTTTTTATTTCAGTAATTTGTGTTCAGTGGTCATTTTAAGCATATTAATTCAAACAGTGTTGAAAATAATTTAAATTCCATGACATTTTAAAGTTTTTATTTGCATGGGTGTTTAAATAATTCCATTTTAAATATTGTCCCTGCTCAGTTCTGAATTGTCCTTTTCTAACAAGTGATATTCTAGTTTCTTCACAATGTAGTGATTTTCAGCCTTACTAATTACCTTGTAGCCTTTCTTAATATGCACATAATGCACATTTTCCAATGGCTAGAAAATGCAAAACACAAGTGGATATCATTGCATCTATTTTCACGTCTTTCTAAAAACAGGACTACTACAATCTCTGGGATACATGAGATAGTAACAAATGAGGATTATAAATGAGTATTACATAAGAATTATTTTCTTGAATTTAAACTTATTACAGCCAGTTTCAGCATGTAAATATATAATAATGTTGACTAGTGTGTAATTCTTGAACTAAGAAGTATAAATAAAACTTAAAAAGATGTGTGTATAAGTGGTCTCATTGAGTTCAGAAATTTTTTGAACTATGAATATGAGTTCTATTGTAGAATATAGCTTTTGCGAAAAGCAGTAGAAAATTTGGACACTTGGGATTGGCTGTTGGGCAGACTTGAGTTTGCGCTGTGACTTGTCACAATCATATTACATGTATGATTGTACAGCTATTTAATGTATCCTATTCTTAGTGTTCTTATCTGAAGCGAAGATTTAATTGCACCTCCTTCACAGAGCTATTTTATAGTTGACAATACATAAGAAGTCTTTTATGAAATTATGAAATATTATAACATTTCCCATGCAGAGTATGTCTCTAAACCATGAGATCCACCTCCCAGAATAATACCAGTTTAGTGAGAAAACTTTTCAGGGATATCTTGAGACACAATCAGTCCACCAGTCTTGATTTCCTAAAGTGGATAAGCCCCAAACATATTCGTATCTCTTCAAGTCTCTGTATAAAAACATTAGCCAAATGTGCAGCCTTCTCCTATATTACCCTCTCCAGCATCAGCCCGCTACATGAACTTGAACACGGAGTGGTCATGGGATGACAACTTCCAGACAAGCCCCAGATAATTAGGTTTCTTTGGCAGGTCTTCTAACCAATGTCTTCGTTTGTGCCTGCCCTGATCTTTTTCTTTCAGGTAGCCAGCTAGGTTATTACTATTTATCTACATATTTATCTTTCCATTTCAGAGATTTGTATTGGATAGAATGGAAACACTGCTGGAAGAG